ATTTTTTAGTAAGTGACCTGGTCCCAACTCAAACTTAAAATCAGGCTTTTTACAATCCCAGCCCCAGCAAAATTATAAAATTTAGCAGGTGTAGATAGCAGGAGCTAAGAAAAAATATATAATACTTTATTATAAATTTATGCTTTTACTATTTATTACATACTGGCACATATATCATATATGTTCATATCACATATATCATATATGCACATATATCATATGCACATATATCATATATGCACATATATCATATATGCATAGTTCTATAAATAGATTTGATAAACCTTTTGCAAAGTTTTTTGGGATACAAATGCGGTTAAACAAAACAAAATAGAAAGAAACTTAATCCTGAAGAAAATGTGTATAAAAGCGTAATAAAAAAATGTTATTAGGATTTATTCTCATCAGATTTTTGCTACCTTGAACTTTTGCCAGCTGGCTTAATTAAAAAAAAATAGGAATAACTGAAGATTCGATGACAAACTTGGAAAAAAGAATAAAAGAAAAGTAAAGCTTTCGAAATTATATATTCAAACAAAAAGTTTACATCTTGTAGATTTTTTTGTCAAAAAGAATGAAAATAATATTAACATAGATGCAAATAATAAATATAATCATTATAACAAAGAAATTTGTAAAATCTTTATTAGTTCTGATATCAATACAGAATGCAGCATTGTTGATTTTAATACTGGAAAAAACCATGATTTTGTTGTTGATTTTTTTGTATCATTTAGTACTTTATTATATGAACATGAAAAATATAATTTCATTGCTTTAATGAATCTCAATTTTCTTTTATGGCTTTCTTGAACCAGCAAATTGTCAATTTTCAAAATTATCAAAGTTCAGCTTGAGGAGTGTGAGGGTTAAAACAGTCCTAATAGTTATTTGTAAAAAAGCATAAACATGAATTAAATTTTATATCAGTGTAACATTAGTGATGTGGTTTTATTTCAGAAGTTTGGAATTATGGAGTTTATTAACTCTCAAGATTGCTTTCTTGTCTATAAAAATTTTTTTACAGAAATTTTTTACAAAAATGCTTTTACAGAAACTATTTTTTTTATTTAAGCAACTATTTATATTGCACTATTTTTAAGTATGTTAGTAGTTTACAAATGAAGAGACCATGCAATAAAAAACAATTGTAAAAAGCACGGTTTATTTTGAAGGATTCAAAGAACATATTTATTTAGATTCAAATTAAAATAAACAATTTAATCCAAAGTTCTGATTATTTGATGGAGTAATGCTTTAACTATTGGCACTAGCATACTAACTAGTTTATCCCACTTCATAATTGGCATGTTTTAATAATACTTGTGTGCTTGAATATCTTTAGAAAATTTAAACTTTGTATCGAAAAAAAATTTAACTGTTTATTTATTTTGTTATTCTTTTTTCGCTGATTGCAATTTTTTTCACTTTTTTTTTGTATGTGTATATAAAGATTCCTTTGTGTAATTTTTATACAAGTACTAATACAAAAAAAAGTAAATTTAAAAAGATTAAAAAACCATTTTAAACAAATTTTTTTTCAGAGTTGATATTTAAGCTTTCTTAAAAATTAGGGATTAAAACTTATTCATAAACATTTTTGTAAATATGTACTTATTTTATTTGGTTGCAACTTTTAAAAAGAAATTTAATAACTAATCACTAATAAACTAATAACTATTTTTAATATTTTTATTTAAAAAACATCATTTAATGTTTAGAGAGGTGGTTAATATTTTTCTGACCTTGTCAAATTCTTTTTGTTTAAGCATGCATTTACTCTCAGGTGTTTAATACGAAGGAGGAGTAATTAGTTAACTTTTGGGAAATATAACCACCCTGAGAATATTAAAATTCTATGAATTTATTAGTTAATTAAATTTCATATAATTTTCAAATAAAAACTTGAAGTAATCAGGCTTTAAAATGTCAAATTTAATCTAAATGCTCAAAATGAAAACTTTCATTGTAATCAGTTCTTAAAAATTCACAAATACTAAACAAAAATTCAAAAAGTTTTTGAGAGTTTGTATTGAAAACTAAATAACTTATATTATTGTTGTTATACATTTTTGAGTGTTTGCATTTCAATCCCAGAATCCTTAGTTTTAATTTATTCAATATATGCGTAACGAAAGCCAAACAATACCCTATTTTATGTACATCTAGAGCAATTTCCATTAAGTGACTTTTTATCATTTTTTAACTTTTAAATTATTCTATAAGTGGTAAGATAAAAGAAGTAACTAGTTTTATAAAAAAAAAACCTTAACTTTTGAGTGACGATTATGTAAAAAAGTTTGTTACAAAAGTTTGAATAACAATTATAATAGATATAAGCGTTATTTACTAATGAAAAAAAAAATCAAATAAAATTAAAAACCGCTAAAACTTAATCCTATTAATCTAATTATTTTATCAAAACATTTAGTAACAGAAAACAAAATTATTTATAGTTAAAAACAAAAATTTTTTTGTATATGAAGTTATTAAACAAAACTAA